AACTGTTAGTATGCCAGTTGAGTTCATGTCCAGCGTAAATACCAGGTTGATAGAGGTCAGTACTCGGACTCATAGGTATTCAGTCGATGGGAGTCGGGCTCCCCAACCGGCCCAGGTTGGGAATGATATTTGCCTTGCTCTCCGTATTGCTCGACCTTTCTTGCTATCGTAGTCTAGCTCAAGCTTAACCTTTTCCGGCTATACAACTCGACTTAAAATATATTTGGCATGTACAAATTGTACTCACAAAAAGTATAAATGTTTGAGAAACCATGGTGGATAAAGGCCGTTAGAGGCTTTAAAGTTTTTGGGACATTGAAAGCTAGCTCATGTATGGTGAGAAGCTGCTGTAAATGTGTATTTATTTTAGTTTTATTGGTTATTCCTTTAGTATTGTGGCACTTATGTAATCATAACCCTCAAGGATCTAGGCTGAATATAGAAACTTCTTAAGGAATGGATTGTTCCCTAGAATATAGAAACTTCTATAGAAGTGGATGGTGATTCCCTAAAACCCAGGGTTGTGTAGTTACTTCCCATGAATTCCCATGGAAGACTATTGGTCTGATCTATACTCCACACATTATCGCGAGTTATGGATAGAGAAACAAGCAGGTAGGGAGATACATCCAGATAAGACGTGATCAAACCAAATGAAGGGCACTCAAATTTATAAACAGACGACTCATGAAGGACGAAATATTGGTGTATGTAATTCACCCTGCTCCCAAGGCCTCACTAAATTATACCACTACAACCATAAAAAAGCTAGATGAAGGGTACACTTCGTGAAAGCTTCCTGGCGTCCTAAGTACCCTAAATCGGCCACGCTTTTTGGCATTCACCTCGGGCACCAAGGCGCAAAGTTCCAAGGGTGTCAAAGTAAAATGAGTAAATATTGAGGGAATTATCAATGCCATGTATTCGAAGATTTTGATCTTGAGTCGCTTTGAATCAGAAGAGATACATTTTCTTTTTATCTATTGGGAGACACAAGGTAACTTGTGTATGTGTAAGCCCTAAAAGTTAATAGTTTTATTAGAACTTAGTACTTATTTCGAATTATTTATTAATAATTAAAAGAAAATTCTTTATTATGTTTGTTTTACCAAAATAATAAATTCCCAAGAATAGCTACTTCATTTAACGAAACATTAAGTGTGACTTAATCATGAGATCTCATTAAACATAAGGACAATATTATTAAAGTATTTGTAGTTGAGCTTTGTTGTGAAGTGGGATAATAATAACGCATAAAGACAAATATGTGGATAGACTGATGATCACATCTCGTTGATCATAAATAAAGAGTTATCAAGTCTTCACATAGGTATGAATATTAGGAGTAATATTTATACTTGATTGACCCATTATGAGACTACTACATAGAAAGTTATGCAAGGTGTCATTAGTTATTCGCATGGTGATAGTGATGTATATTACCTTTCGACCTGAAACCATTATGGATTCTAGATGTGGAGTCGAGTACTTTTTTATAGATCAAATATTATATGTAACTGGATGACCATATAAATAATTGATGTGTATTCCATAAATCATGAAGAGGGACACGAGTGACCTAGATGGAATTCACGCATCCTGCATAACAGGATAGCTATCTAAGGGCCCAATATTGAAATGGACAAAGGTGACATGGTATATGACTTGTATTCAATAAAGACATGGGAGAAAAGGATAATTGCATACACAAGCATTATTACATAAAGATTTTGTCATATCACATGACATTTTTGTGACACGGGTAGTAGTGATGTGTTGCTAAATATTGCTCACTGTTTATTATATTAAATGTGTAATTTAATATAATTGTCAACGTCACGGGAATATATAGGGTCACGCATATAAAGTCAAATTGACGAGAGATAAAATAAATAAGTGAAATAAGGAACATTGTAAGGTACAATATACATAAGAGAATTATGGAACACCATAAGGTACGATGCACTTTAGAGAATTGTAGAACATCGTAACGTATGATGCACTTAAGTGGAATACGAAATATGGTAAGGTACAATACGCTAAAATGAAATACACTACACCTTAAGGTACGATGCACTTAAGTGGGTTTTTTAGCTTGCAACCCACACAAGTGTTCTATCAATAGAACCTTTGTGCAGAAGCTTTCACAATTGATGAAATTTGATTTTGAACTCTAGTTGTATTATATGTCTCAAAAGGTCTTCATTTATAGCATATAACACTGAGATAGAAGACACTTTGTGTAGATTTAGTAGAGACGTTGTTCTTTGTTTAACGTTTATGATCGTTCATCTAATTCTGCATCAAAAGTTTTAATCGCCATAAGAGGTAATCGTTTTTATCACTGATCATGTTCACTCATAAGGATTGAATCAAGGAAAATTTTTGTTTTTCCGCTGTGTTCATATCGCAATTTCCCTTCAAAATGGTCAGACATTTCTTTAGCATCTTCAATATCGACAATGGTAAGATACTTGTAGGGACCAACGTTAGAGATATTGACGAGGCAAGGTTTTGTAGAAAGGAACCCATCATGAGAGGAACCAATTTTCTGCTCTAGAATTTTCTTCAGTGTGCTCCCACTAGCTATGTCACCTACAAAATGAACACAAAAAATCAATAGATGATATATAGAAAACAAATAACCAAAATTATAACTTATTAAGCATATCATGGGTGTGTTTTTTTTATAACACATAGAGGGCCATCGTGTTTATATGATGGTGCATGCTTTCGCTATACAGGGACGTCATATAATCTTAAAGTTTCCTAAAGGATTATGCAGCATAGCCTTTTAGGCCTTAGGTTGATGAGATACATTCTCTCAACTCCCTTAATAGTTGTTGTGCCACCATCAATGATTAAAACGTGATTTACACAAAGCACTGAAGACGCATATTATCTTAAGAGAAACCTTGGTAAGAGGCGTGATAATCACAAATTGCCACTCTCGATAGGCAAAAGCAACAAAGCTTTGAAAACAAGTATAACAAGGTCAAAAGTAACAAAGAAATGACAATGACCGATAAACTCCCACTGCAAATGAAATATCGTACAAAAAATAATGGTCAAAAGTTTGACTTTAAGAAACACACATAGATTTTAAACCCCTCATTACGTAGGCCTAACGTGGAGGATAAATTTGCACATGAACCAATAATAAACTTGTCAAAAAATGAAGCTCGAAGGTAGTAAAAGGAAGTTGAAACCCATACTTTTGCAATGAGGAAAATAATTTGCAACTCAATAGGAATTATCATCAATGTTCGACATGGCGTCCCATTACATAGCTTGGAGAAAACTGACAAATAAATAAGAAGAAGAGAAACATACCAAGATAGAAATTTCAAAAGGAAGATGAAGCAACGACGATGAGTTGGAGCCAACATGGATGAATAACCAAATGTGGAGAAGCAAACATTGAGAAGTAAACTTTAAAAAAGCTACCTAAAGAAAGAGGAAATGTGGGAGCAGAGAAGAGTATAAAATAGTAAGAAGTAATGATTTCCTATTTATGAAGGGCCTTTCAAGCCATGAAACATAAAGGTAAAAGAAAAACCTCAAATTTTAGTAATGACGAAGACAAGTAATCAATGCTCATGTGGTTTTATCGAAGAAAGAATTTCCATACTAAATATCATCATACAGTTTTTTTTCTCATGTCGTAATCATCACATCTCGATTTAGGATAAAAAACATTAAATGTACCAAAATTTATAATTCCTAACATCATACCTACTAATCACGTGGCGGCTTGAAGGACACAAAACGTCAAAGGAGGATTGACCATGATACTCCTTATAAAAGTAGAAGGTATAGATGCAATAGGAGGAAATCTTACTAAATTTAAAGCTCATATCAACAAGTTCGCGTGGTCCTCCGGAACGATTGGCAGAATACACTAAACAAGGCTCATCAGTACTCAAGAGAAGAAACATATAGAGATAGTGACTCCAAAGCAAACAACAACACGACTTTGTTGACCCTTCATTGGGGGCTATTATTCTGGTATGAGTCATGACTCAATTAAATTTGATGCATCTTGATACATGGTCGTCTATGAGCGATACTGGCAGGAGGCCTATGGATCTTCAAATTTAAATATCAAAGGAAACTAATATTACTTCTTTATTCTTAGAACGATGACGTCACTCCTTCAGAGCAGTTATCCACAAGTAGTTTCTAACATTAAAATAACTTAAAAGTACACCTAATCAGAACAAGTAGAAAGAGCAAAACTGGTCATACCTGAAAGAATCCTTTAGGATATATCATTTCTTACGATTATCTAAATAAAAAGACTTTAGCCCTTAAAAATCCTAGAACATACTATAAAATTCAAAAAAATGTGTCGCATTAAAGTACACTACAAATGTGTCGCATTAAAGTACACATTATTCTAATCTTAAATAACTCTCACGACTATCATTGATTGATTTATACATTAGAACATTTACATTTGCATGTATCTTCGCCAGACTAAAGCATCGTGACAACCATATAGATCTATTTTAATACTAAAAGAAAAATTATATTAAATAGATCAATCTTATAATTATGTCTCATTTTAAAATAATTTTAGATATTTGGCATCATTCAAAGATTTTAAAAAAATTAACATAGTCATTGCAATTTAAATCTCTTATTCATTTTTATCTGTTTTCCAATAGGTCAATAATAAATTAATATGACATGAAAAAGGGACATACATAAAATTTTAGGGAAAAAAATAATTTATACCTAACCGGGCATGTCACTTGTATTAATATTATTTAACATGTTTGTCTTTTTTGATATATATACAAAATTGAGTAATTAAATTACCTTCACACAGTTATTTTTATCGAATACAAATATATATAATTCTTGGACATGAGCATCAAACATAATTGAAAGTGTTTCACAAAAAAAAAAAAAAAAATTTAAAGTTCATACACAAGCAACCATTTCCCCAATCAAAATGAATTACATTAAACACGCTAATTAAGAAAAAACTCAGGTCAATTATTCGGCGGGTTGATGCCCCGACCCATTCCAAACTCCGTTCCACCTCTTTGCGGTTCATCCCCACCAGTCACTGCCATCGCATGGTAAACCGGTACTGGACCGGGGTTCGGCACAGCTTGATACACTTGTTGTTTCAAACCGTCACGAGCGACCGCAGCAGTGGGACTGTAGGGCTGCACTGGGGCCACATGCCTCATCCCTGCACCATACACTTGACCCGAACCCGGAACCATATGATGATACCCAATTGGAACCTGAGGTTGCATAGCTGCATGATAAGGTTGTTGAACGAATGGATAATGAACCTGTTGGATCGGCATATTTCCGGGTTGAACCGAACCAGAAATATAGTAAACCGGAACCGGTTGTGCATGATGACCCGAATATGCAGCCTCTTGTGCATGTGAAACTTGTGCTTGTGGTTGAGGGTAGTGTACTGCAGGGTTAATCTGGTAAACATTCGGTTTCAATTGCGGTTGAAAAACAGTTTCGTTTTGATTTTCTTTGAAATCAGAAACCGGGTTTTCGAGTTTGGTTTTAACCGGTGGAAGATTCGGGATAGAAGGAACACTCAACACTGATGAAGTTGAGCAAAACGGTGAAGAAACAACCGGAGCAGGAGAACCCGGATCCGAATTCGAAACGTTGTCATGTTGTTGAAGAAGGTGACGTTCCTTAGGTCGTGATTCGCGAAGGTTTTGGTTTGTTTCTTCGGAGTTATTATCCAACCCGAATAAATAATCGGGTACTTCAGAAAGCATAGAAGAAGCTTCTGAGCGACCTCGTTCGAGTCCTGAAACGCCACCGTTTAAAGCGTCCATGAACCAGTTTTCTCTTTTGGTTGAGCCGTTTAAGAGCGAGCTTATGCTGTTGGCTCGAGAATCCTCGCCTTCAGGGAAGAGGAAGACACGAAGCCGTGCCGCTCGTGGGTTTTCATTCTGTGAGACGCGGTCGTACTCGTCTATCATGTTCTCCACGTCTTCGTCTGTTGTAACGGTGATCAACGCGTCTAGGTCTTCGTTTGGAAGTTGGTACTTTGCCGTTATGTTGCTCATGCCTGCACACAATCAAAATTCAAAACTCCCATAGAAAAATAAACTATAAGAAATTGAGAAAAATTGAAAAAGTGAGGTTTGGAAATTGTTACCACAGAGTTTGGAGAGTTTGTGGACCAGGGCGGAGAATGGAATAGAGCGATTGACGGCGACGATACGGGTGTCGCCGCCGACATAACGGAGTTGATTGTCGGAGGGACGGGGGAGGATCTTGCCGCCGAAACTACACATGAAGCGGACACGCGGAGGAACGTCTTGGAAGTGATCGGAGCGAGGGGAAGGGGAGACGGAATCATCGTCTAAGTGTGGGAGTGACGACGCCATTATCCACAGTGGCGGGGAAAGGAAGCGTTATTTGATGAAAATAAATATAAAAAAATTAGAACATATTTGGATTCGGTGGTGGGAGACACGTATTAATTGTCCGCTGGCAATGGTTTGTATGCTCTATCAATCAACGGAGTATTTATCAGGGACCGCCCCAATCCCACATCCACTTGGTCTCTCATTCGTTGGTGCAAATTGCAATACTTTTATATAAAATATAATAAATAAGATAATATGATGTCATATCAATCATAGCATATACTTTTACATCAATGATAGTATATAAATACATCATACTTTTAGAGCAATTTCTTAATCTATTGCATATGTTTTCTTATGTGCTATACAAATTTTTAAAAATGTTCTTAGTTTTTTTAAGTGTATTTTTGACGATTTAACACATATTTAATAAATATCATTTTAAATTATACTTTATTTTTTGATAATTTTATTTTGGAGATATATTTTTGAAATATTTTCATAATTATATTTTTGTAACACAGATATATAAGAAGTAGAGCGAAAATCATGTTTTTCAAAATGAAATTAACATTCATAGCATAAAATAAACATTACATAGATGATTTTAATATAAAATGCAACATTACACTTTAATATTCAGGTGGGCGTTTCAATATCTTCGATAGATTTTGAAATCGTCACTTCCAACTCGAGCGGAACTTTTGTTTCGAAACAAAAAATACGTATTTCACATAACCCTTATATCTGCTTGCGTCTTAAGCTCAAATTTGCAAAACCCAATCTTCTCTCTGTTGTCAATTGATGGTGAACGGTATTCAAGCTTTACAATTTTTTGATTGTCTCTCATAGGTAGGAGATGATAAATTTCATCTTTGATATCTTCGAGAGAGGTAAAATCGGTGAGCTTAAACGTTTGCCCGAGTGTAAAGCTGGAAAAGGAGACATTTGCGACATACTAGTTGATATTTATTTGTGACATTTGAGACATTTTCAGTTTGTGTGAAATATAACATAAGAGCACCTTAATTTATAGAAGCCATGAATCCATATGGACCACTCAATAACTGACATGCTGATTCCGGAGATATATCTCTAAAATAACACTCTATTATCTTGTTCTAGAGATGCATCTTCAGAACTTCTCCTGAACCAATTTCAAAATAGAACCTATTTTTTCATTTGCAAAAGAACAAATGTTGTTATATGAATATATGGTGAATATATTACACTTCATTTATATTGGGACATATGTCGACGACTAAATCTATGGCTGGTACCCCTTGGACTTTTATGCATTTGATTCTTTTTCAATATTGTTCAATTTCTCGAATTCATGCATCCTTTCCATAAAATGATCTGGCCAAGTCTCGACTTTTGTGGTTGAATGAGTTGTCTACTCCAATGATGTAAGGGGTATAGGGCATCCCGGTTTCAAGTAAACTTGGACAAAAAGACTTGATTTTGAAAGCCACCCAATACACATGATACAATCATTTGGATTTTGAGGTGGGGCAATGCGCAGTGGAAAAAATGTTTCTGAAAAACCGTATTGTGTCAGGTCAACACACACTCTATCATACATGCATGTTATTAGGTGACCCATTTCAGGAAAGCACATCAATTTTGCCTCTGGTGCCAGACTGCTAAGGCAATAAACAAGAGGCTCATAAACTTCATAGAATTTTTCTTTCTTTTTGTACAACTGTGTGTATGATTCTTTATGCGTCCTTAACTCTTGGATAAGTTGATGGCGGACAAGTGTATGATTAACTTATCATTTACCGAGTAAAGCTGAAACTACTCGATAACCTCAATTACCATCTCCCACAACATTGACGATCCGCTCGATGTATTTGTGAATAAAAACTGACATCTCGTTGATGAATGAAATCTTTGGTGGAGGCGGCGTATGAAGTGGTTTGCTAATGCAAGCTTCTTTGACAACACTTTTTTGAGATTTTGGAGTTGGTGAGTCGGAAAGAACTTTTTCTACATGTTCAAAATATAAAGGAGACCGCGTAGTCAAATTGTCATTCGGTGTAGGCTTCATTTTCTTCGAAGCACCTTTTGTTTTTACCGATTTAGAGGGTGGTTTCATGTCGGTGGTTTTCAGATAGGGAATATTCCTTAATTGTTCTTTGATGTGGAGTTTCATATTGTCACCGGCTTTCAAAAATCTCTCTTGTATCACTTCCCATTCAGTCAAAATAGAGATATTCGATTTATCGTCATTCATGACACCATCATCATCAAACTTAAGTCTCTTTCAATGAGTGCAACCCTCGTTCATTCTTATCGGGTCACCAAGTTTCACCTTTTAGCAATAACACAAGCACATGAGAAAGCATATGTTTTCACAATTGTGCATCCACATTTTGCGCTATCGAAACCTACATTATCAACTCGTTTAGCCTCGTGAAAAATATAATTCAAACTCGTCCAAGAAATGTTACTGACCAACTGAGAATATAGAGTGTTGTCTTTAAATATGTGTTCTAAAACTGTGATGCTCCGACCAAATGATGTTTGTATCTCATTATGCTGGTTTTGAATCATGTAGTTCATAGAGTCCCAGTCTCTACACAAATCGCTCTTACTATTTCCCAACCAATGTTTCAAAGTAGCATGGGCAGACTCAACTCTGTTAGTTGTTGTATTTCCAAGGTGTCTAACACTATCATTTCATGCAAAAATAACTGTCTCGTTCATCTGGTTAAGAATTGTGCTTTCAACATATTTTAACAAATCTGGATACTTTTCACACACTTTCCAAAAATGCATAACGAAATCGACATATAATTACTCCATGGAAGAATTTATTATACAATTCCATGCATTCATTATTTTTTCTACAACCACGCTCGCCTTCACCATTTTTCCATCTACACACTCTATTTATTTCGTCCCTACTGCGGGGTTTACCCGACTTCTCACATTCTTTGTTATGTGATACCTATAAAGTAATGCATTAGAAGAAGGAAATGTCTTAGCAATCAAATTCATCAATTCGGTATCACGATCAGTAACAATCACTTTATGCATCTCACCTTGGTCCTTTAACAATGTCCAACACACCTCTAAAGCCCAAGTAAATTATTCTCTTTTTCACACTCAAGAAATGCAAAACCAACAAAATATGTCTTCTCAATTAAGGTAACACCAACCATATCGAATAATAGAATTTTATACTTGTTGGTCTTGTAGGTTTTGCATATCCCCTTTTTAGGTCTTAGAGCAATCATACGAACAAAAAAAATCGATATGCCCGTAGGGTTTTGCCCAAACCTTATTCGTAAGAATTACATATATCATACAAATTAGGGAAAATTAGGTAAAAATAATATTACCCTAAGGCGCTAACAGGAGGGTAAGGGACCATCGTCATCCTACATGCCTAAATCACTCATAAGAAGGCAAATCCCCCCTTACCTTGGAATTGTGGTGTTCTGGGTGAATTTCCTGTTTTTCTTTCCTAGAGCTCTCCCTTAGGGTTTCTCGTAGTCAATCCTCTGAGTCTTCTCAATTTCACGTAAAATGTTTTCCCAATCTCAACGTTTTCCCTATTAATATAACCTAATAGGTTTTGCACTCATTATTACAACTTGACCCCTTAACTTTTCTAGAAACTTCACTTCTCCCCCATTATCAATTTTTCATAAATTATTATTTAAATTAAATTAATATTTAATTCATATAATCATTTAATCAACATTTCTTTATTTTCTACTCTTTCAACCCATTACAAAATAATGAAATATATCTAGTTATCTGCAATACCTTAATAATAATATTTTATTTTTCTGCTCTTCAATTTTATAATCCCGATAATTATTAAATCACCAAAATACCCCTACATTCTGAGAAGCACCAAAATTCAGGCATAATGCATAAAACACACCAATAATTAAGTAAAATACTCGATTTAAAAGTCAGGGTGTTACAAGAAACAGGGTATCAAAAGTTTGAGAAAACGAATTTATCCCTCGTAACCGCATCAAGAAAGTTGCATCGTTACTTCCTAGCTCACATGATAATAGTGAGAAAAAACCTTTTATTGAGGCAAATCCTCTACCGATCCAATTTGACAGGGAGGTTAACCAAATGGTTGGTCGAGATATCCGAATTTGGTGTCGTATATGAAGCTAGAAAGGCACTAAATTCCCATTAATCCATAGATTTCATAGCAGAAATGACGCTTGATGAACCAGAACTAGCACACTCTTGGAGAGTATTCACTGATGGATCATCGAATAATCGTGAGAGCGGAGCTAAACTCATTCTAGAGAATGAAGTTGGATTGACTATCAAAGTATCCATTTGGTTTTAGTTTTTGACTACCAATAAACAAGTCGAATATGAGGCAGTAATAGTAGACCTTATGTAAGAATCCAAGATGGGGCAGAAAACATCAAGTTGAAAATAGATTTTCAGCTAATGGTGTCGTAGATCAAATGAGAGGTTAGACGAAAGAACCAATGCTACAACGCACATCCGATTATCCAAATAAAAGATAACCAAGTTCAAGATGTCCAAGATAGAGTATATCCCAAGAGAGAGAAACACCTGAGTGAATATCATCTCCAAACTAGCTAGTTGTCGCTACTCGAAAAATGCAACGACGTTGAGGCAAAAAGAGGAAAATAGGAGAGTCGCCATCGAAATTTATTTATCCCAAAAGAGGAAGGGAAAATTTTTATAAAACCCCAAGAAGAAAAGGATAAGAATGTCTCGTAACCAAGATATGGGTTCAGAAGCCGATTATGCAAAGGGAAGGTATTAACACCTTCCACATTCATCGTACTCGATGGGAACCATTCGTTTGTCTCATGTGTTAGGATGTTTTCTAAAGGATTGCTAAGAAGAGTGTTCAAAGAGGAAGATAGAAGGGTTGAAAACAAAGATAAATAAAAGAAAAGGTGGAAACAAAAAGGAGAATCGATAGAACTTTGCAATCATATGCCTATGTATTTCCTCGTGCAATGGAAATGTCAGAGTCAACGTAGTTTGGAGGACTA